AATCATGTCTTGTGATTATTTGACAGGAGTTTTACTTTTAAACTGTAAGTGTATTTAATTTAGTTATGTTAGTTATGATAGTTTAGTTATAATGCAAATACGATAAAAATTAAACCAAGATTTAGAATAATTATCATTTTGATCCATACATTGGTAATATCTGACTGGGCCTTGTGCCATTGGGCCCCGAGGTCAAAAAGGTTAAGAACCCCTGATTTAGACCATTTGTCACCTGAGGCAGCAGGCTGGAGAGCAGAGAGCCGTGAAAACTGACCAGAGCACCGCTCAGCCTGCAGGAAAACCAATAAAACACTGAAACTTTTCTGTTGTTTGCTTTGTCCCGTCTCATTTCTTCATCGTTTACCTTCCCAACATGTCCGACAGGATGTCCAGGGCCTCTAACTGCACCGATACGTCCTCCTGTTTCCCCAGAGCTCCGATCAACTGGGAGGTGATCTTCCTGCACACACCCACTGTCAGACTCAAACCTGTGGGCCCACATACACGTAAACACCCAGAGAGAAAACAGAAACGGGACATTATTCAAAGATCACACAGTTCATCCTCTCACCTGAGGTTMTCAGGGGCAGCTCTGCGATCACGGCCTTCAGTCCCATGCTGGAAATGTCCCTCAGCTGCTCTTTGTCTGACGTCATGTTCACACACAGGATGTCCACCATCGCCTCCACCTGAGGCTCCTTCACCTTACCCACCAGAGGGGCCAGGCTAAAAAAAATAAAAACACATCAAACCCCTCGATCTGTGGCTGCAAAGCTTTTTATTTTACGAGTGAAAGTGTTTTTACCATTTTACAGCCAGGTTCTGCACCTCTCCGTTCTTGTCCTCCAGCAGCCTGAGCAGCATGTCCACCACTTTCCTCTCGCTGTCCTCGTCCAGCTTAATGCTGTCCTTCTGCAGCTCCAGCATCAGGTCGTTCGTGGCCATGAACCTGGACGGTATAAATTGTGAATGACGCCAAACTCAACCTCAGTACCTGGAAAACCAACTGAGCTATAAAACATTTTAAAATCYATTAGCTGTGTCGGCCATCTTGAGTCAGATTGACTCCAAACGCTAATCAGTCTAAGAGTAATGAATATTTCCTGCAAGCTTCATTAAAATCCATCCAGACATTCATTAAATATTTTGCTAACAGACAGACATAGTTGACTGCAAATAATTAATGACTTAATTTTTAAGGGACAATATCATGTAAAATCAACTTTTTTGAGTTTTATATCATGCTATAATGTTATACTCTCATAAAAGGCATGCCCTAAGTCTTGCTTTGACTCCATGCAGAAGCAGAAGGTGCTTCTTAAAGAGGCAGGCAAAATTCAAGGCGTTTAGAAGAGGAAGTGATGAGAAGATAAGTTTATTTTCTATTTAAACATAAAAACAGCATTTTAATAACAACTAAAGGTGACATANCTATTTAAACATAAAAACAGCATTTTAATAACAACTAAAGGTGACATATATACTTTATTATGGTATAGTATTTAAATATATGCCTGAGAAACACATAATATTGGCCCTTTGAACAAAGATTTTGCTGAAGCTGTTTATGGACATTCAGTGCGAAGGGGATCAGTCTCAGCTTCTACCACACAAAATTTTAGGCTAAAATTAGTCAAATTTACAGAGTAATATACATTTCGGTGCTTTTTAAGGTTTTTAAGGTGTTCTTTGTTGTTTAATTTAAAAAAAAGGCAATATATATATATATATATATTTATATATGTGTGGCAGTATGCCCGGTGGGCTTTGAACGCACCACACAAATGCCTGTTTCTGATTGGCTGGGAGCTCGCTGTTGCTGTATAAAGGGGATCCTCCCTGCTTCTGTGATAATGACTTCCGGTTCGGACTAAGGTGGTTGCCGGTGCTGCACGCTAGGTAAGAGAAGCTTTAAACCTCCTCCTTTAACCTTTGTATTTTTTAATAATGTTATGTTCTGTCCTTCCGTGTAACAGCCCCAGGTTAGTGGGTGTATGAAGGGTGCGTTAAACGGCCCTCGATCCTTCGAGCGCTTCTACTTCCTGGTTGTTTGTTTGTAGCCTAGCTTTAGCTTAGCTTCTGTTTCGATAGGCTGCTTGAATGAGTCCACCTGATTCCTCCTTCTTTAGAGGAGCTACACTTTGGCCTCAGTGGTGACAGGTCACCACCACAGTTATAAAAAGAAAATCCTAGGGGAAACTTTGCAAGATTTAAAGTTCTTATAGAGTTCTAATGATTAATAGGAAGGACATGATTTGAGGTTTTTACTGATAATATTTTATTTAAAACATGTTACAGAAGTCATAAGCAGGTTTTATTTTGAGCCATCATTACAAATGTGTTCATTCCTACAAAACTGTCAAATATATTTACAAACACTGACTCAGATTAACATAAAATAAATCATGTTTTATGATTAAATGTCTGTTTCCTCTTTTATAAATAAAAATCCTCCTTGTTCCTAATCAGGGTCAGGGTGGGGCTGGAACCTGTCTTGCCTTTGGGTAAAGGCAGGGGACACCTGGACAGGTCTCCAGTCGTCTCTTCGCTCCTCCATGCGGACCCTCAGAACCTCCTCGGCCTTCAGCTGCTCGAACTCCTMCCTCTCCTTGTCCAGCTGGAAGGACTCCACCACGGTGGGCCGGCTCTCCTTCTGGGGTCTGAAGGGCTTTTTATGTGTGGCCACGTTGGGCTGGGCCTTGAAAGCGACTGCCTCCTCCAGGAGTTTCTGCTCCTTGACCGTCGGGGTCTTCTGGAACTGCTGGGCCATGGGGGACGTAGTCTCCAGACTCCTCCCCCTTCCTGTGACTTGCTGACATGTTATTTGAGGACCGTGGCTCCTTTACGAGCCTTCACAGGGGACGAGGGTTTCATCACCTGGTTCTTTCTGTGACGGCGTGGAGGCTTTGACCCTGGTGTTGGTGTTGAAGTGGACGTCTTTGGGCACGGTGATGGACAGAACCATCTTCGGAGGTGGACTGCCGGCCAGAGCGGCTCTGAAGCTGGCCTCGTTCTGTCTGCGCTGCAGAGCCACCTCCTCCTGCAGGTTCCTGATCTGCTCTGAGGACACCGGCCTGGAGAAACGCTCTGCAGTGGCTGTGTTCTTGCCCCGGGCTGAGACGATGGACAATTCCTAGGCTGTGATTTTAGCTCTTTATTTTTATTTGTAAATTTGTTTCACAATAAAAAAAAACCTGTCTCATTTGAAGCAAGGGTTTATGAAATGTTAATTACTTCACTGTTAACAAGAAATCGTGTCATGCTAACAGCTAGTCTGAGCAAAGCCAAAGTGGCTTTCTGCCATTTTTAAAATGTTCTCTAGTCTCAGTGGTTGATTCATGCTTCTTGTCATTTAAACAGTGATAACACAAGTTAAAAAAAAAACAAAATGATCTTCCTGGTTTGCTTAAAAACACTATTAAACTGATAAAAAAAGACAAGCTTTGCTCTCACCACTGAGCCCAAAGTGTAGCTCCTCTAAAGGAATCAGGTGACTCATTCTGGCAGCCTATCGACACAAAAGCTAAGCTAAAGCTACACTACATAAAAGACTCGAGGGTCGTTTAACGCAGTGGTTCAAAGCTGGGGTCCCCAAACATCAAGGTGGGGTCCTGAGAGAGATTTTTTGAATTAACTACAACCAATTTTTTGCTTTTTGTTACAAAATGGTAAATGTCATGTACCTAAAATGGACAGAGTAAAACATTGTAACTTTGCTCCTTATTTTAAAATGAAAATGGTTTATCATCCAACAGCTGGGGTCACAAGTGTCTGCAGGTATTTTGTGCATTAAAAGCTGAAAAGTTTGAGAACCACTGGTTTAACACGCGCTTCAAACACCCACTAGCCCAGGGGTCTGCAACCTGTGGCTCTTTGAAAATGTGACCAAACATAACAGAATAAATATTTTGTTTTTTATACTCTCAACAAATCAATTTGTATGCAAATATGTGATCAATAATACTAATACATGCTAGCCTGGTGTTAAATAATCAACTTCTTTCTATGATCTTTGTCACTGGCCATAAAGGTTCCTAAAAAGGCCTCAAAGGCCCACGAACCACCAGTTGATAATCACAGTTGTAGCTTGTTTTGTGGCTCTGAACACATTTTATTAGCGAGCCAAGTAGCAGAAATGGCTCTTTTGATRGTAAAGTTTGCAGACCCCTGCACTAGCCAATCAAACAGGCATTTGTGTGGCGTACAAAGCCTACCGGGCATACTGCCAAATGTATAATTCCTGCAAGTTTCATTAAAATTCTTTCACTTCATGAGATATTAGTAACAGAACAATTAAATCTGTAATGTGAATAATCTAAAAACTGAAATATTTACTTCAAAGAGGTGACACAGTCTAGTGTAATAAAATGGCACTCAAGAATGACATCAGACTTTTAAAAAGTGTCAACTCACTTCCAGAGCTGCTCACAAACTCGTTTCTTTACCTGAAGTCTTTGTCAGTCGATGTCATTTTCTCCAACAGATTGGAGATGTGGTAGGACACGTTCGACATGGCAGTGATTTAACAGATCACACCCTAATGATAAAACAAAAAAAATTAATAAAGAAACAGATTCACCCCGACAACATGGCGAGGCTGGTGGGCAGAGAGGAGACCCTGCGGCCTGGGGAACCTGACACTTTGGGGTTAAAAATAGTCAAGGTGGAGATTTTTAGGTTTTTGCCACCCCCGTGTGGATATACGAGGTACTGCATCTCAGTTGTCATAAAATAAATCATTATTGCAGCAGCAGTTTAATAAACTAAGGATTAAAGGTCTTGCTATTTTATAAAATATTTTAACTTTAGGTAAAATAGACAAATAATATAAAAAGTTGATTAAAAATAAGCTGTTTCAAATGTTTTTGTGTCATTTTATTTATAAAAGAAAAATCGGATGTTTTTTTACACAATGAAGTTTTTGTTTTAAAAAAGCCAATAGTTTTTGTCGTTCCTTTGACGCAATTGAGTTCAAATGTATTTATGAACAAATACAATATTATTATTAMTAGTAGTAGTAGTATGTTGTTGTTGTTTTTGTTGTAAAAGCAGTGAGCCAAAGTTAAATAAATTGTCCCTATGTTCATTTATTACCTCGTATCCTTTTCACTGTGTTTTTGTATATGCCGTAATATAGACATTTTTTATAACTTTTAGGGAAAACAAAGTTTAACTCTGGACGTTTCTGCATGTGGAACCATCGCTGGGCACTTTTTGTTTCCTCCGGCAGGAAGTGACGTGTGGGACTCGGTAGACGCGGCTTCGGACTTGTTGCCACGTCGGAGTACTCCAGTGGACCTGAGTAATTCATTTCAAACAGAACAGGGGTAACCTTATTTGAGGGTTTAACCGAAGTCATGGTGAGTCCGGTGACTTCTTATTTTAATTTCAGGTCAAATTATTCGAGGACGTTTGTTATATTTACTGATAACTGTTAGCTGCTGGGCTTTTAGTAGCTATCAAACCGTTAGCATAGTGGCTAATGACAGGAGGCTAATTTAATGAAGATTAAACTTTTGCTGAATGTTGTGTTTTTATTTGCCATTTACAGGTTTCCGTTATTAATACGGTGGACACCTCACACGAGGATATGATCGTAAGATGTTTATTTTTTATTTTATTTTAAATGCCTCTACCTTGAAGCTAATGCTAACTAGCATTAAGCTAACGTAAATAAATTACAGCAGTACGAAGTTACAAGCTATTTATAGTTTTTATATATTTGTGCTTCGTGTTTGTCAGTATGCGTTGCATATAAAATGTTAAATTATCAATGAGGAATGTTAGACAGCTGTTTTGATAACTTTTCCTGGCTTCTTCCTTTGTGAAGATTTACTGTGAAATAAGTAAAACTGAGTTTTAACCTTGGAAATTGGGAATTATGCAGATTAATTGATAGTAATAACTGGTCGCATTTACATTGATGTATTGCCATTCATTCAGATCTTTTTTTGTTTATTTTGGAAAGGAGTATTTGTTAACATGCAGTCAGACAAACGTTTGCATTTTTGTTGAACCTCATTAATTAGTTTGTTTGTTGCCTTCTTTGTGTGGAACGTTCCTGTTGTTTTTGCTTCAGCACGACGCCCAGATGGATTATTACGGGACTCGACTCGCCACCTGTTCCTCCGATCGCACCGTCAAGATCTTTGACGTCAGGAACGGAGGACAGATCCTGGTGGCAGACCTCAGAGGGTAAAAAAAAAAAAAGTTAAATTAAGATTTAGCACCTGTGGGGTTTTTTTTTCCTGTTGTGTAACGTGTGTTTGTGTTGTGTCTTTTAGCCATGAAGGCCCAGTCTGGCAGGTAGCGTGGGCTCACCCGATGTTCGGCAATATTCTGGCCTCTTGCTCTTATGATCGTAAAGTCATCGTCTGGAAGGAGGAGAACGGCGCCTGGGACAAGATGTACGAGTACACCGGACACGAGTCGTCAGGTTGGTGATGAGGACATGATAGTTCTGATTTAAATACGTCTCTCTTCTTCTCATACGCTGAGGCTGCGGACTGTTGTGAGATTAATAACAGATCGTCACATACTGGAGTCTCTCTGGTTTTTAACATGTTTTAATTCTCTGCTCATTTATTTCCCCCTGATGTTTCTACAGTGAACTCGGTCTGCTGGGGTCCCTACGAGTTTGGGTTAATCCTGGCCTGCGGCAGCTCAGACGGAGCGATTTCTCTTCTCACGCTTACCGGAGATCAGCAGTGGGACATCAAGAAGATCAGCAACGCACACACTGTGAGCTGAACATGAAATACATAATGTTTCTCATTGAATCATTTAGTTTTGTTTTGTACTTGTGCATATTTAGTTTTTATGTCAAAAGGTTATTTCTTTAGTCTTAAGTTGTTTGTTTTGAGGGTCTTGAACGTAACGGCGAGCTGTGTTTCTGCTGCAGATCGGCTGTAACGCGGTGAGTTGGGCTCCTGCTGTCGTTCCAGGCAGCCTGATTGATCAGCCGTCAGGACAGAAACCAAACTACGTCAAACGCTTTGTCTCCGGAGGCTGTGACAACCTGGTCAAACTCTGGAAGTGAGTCTGTTGGGCAGAGTTTTCAGTGGTTCTAAAGGGAAAACTTTTTTTTAATTATTATTATTATTATTTACAAACAAATTCTTCCTGCAGAGAGGAAGACGGCCAGTGGAAGGAGGATCAGAAGCTGGAGGCGCACAGTGACTGGGTGAGAGACGTCGGCTGGGCTCCTTCCATCGGGCTTCCCACCAGCACCATCGCCAGCTGCTCCCAGGTGAGATTCAATAAGTTAAAAAAGATCATTTATATAATAGATGTTAATTTAAAAATCCTAAGTGTTTAACTTAAATGACTTTTCTGCTTTTTATTATCAGTTAATTTAAAGTCTGTTGTTTTTCCTCAGTGTGTAATTACTCATCCAGCCACCAGGTGGAGCCAAACATATATTTAAAAGAATGGTTAAGTTGCTTGAGAAATATGTAAATGTATGAATTGTTCAAGGATTTAAACTTTTATTTTTTTGTTTTTTGTAAACTGCAGATTATTTTTGATTTTATTTATTTGYGAAAAAGGGGCAGATATAAGATTTTTTCTTCTGCTACCTTTCATTTAATTTGATTTGTATTTTTGTTTGTTGTTGAATTTATGTTGTTTTTAAAGAAATGAATTAACTAAACTAAATATAAAAAATATATAAAACATAATAATTTGACGTGTCTGAAAAGAAAGTAGCTAAAATTCGTTTTCGATGCTTTTTTCATGATTCTAGCATCATTACTTTATTAAATAGAATGTAAAATCAGTTTTCAGTATTATTTAAAGCTGCCGTTTCCAAAATATTCAAGCTTCAAAAACCAACGAGACAAAGAGGCGTGTCACCATCTGTCAGATTTTCATGGTGATTCTAACTTTCAGAAAGTCTCTCGCTGTTGGTTTAGTTGCAAACATTTTGAGAGTTAAGTGGTCTGAAAGTAAACTCTGTGAGTCTTCCAGGATGGTCGTGTGTTTATTTGGACGTGCGAGGACCCCACAGGCAACACGTGGACGGCCAAACTGCTCCACAAGTTCAACGATGTGGTTTGGCACGTCAGCTGGTCCATCACCGGAAACATCCTGGCTGTTTCTGGTGGAGACAACAAGGTGAAGGAATGCTCTGAATTATGGCTTTATAAACTCGACACCTTTGTCTTTTTTTTAAATCTTACAGTTTTTATTGTGTTTCTCGCAGGTGACGCTGTGGAAGGAGTCCATGGACGGACAGTGGGCGTGTATTAGTGACGTCAGCAAAGGCCAGGGCGCCGTCTCCACCATCACAGACACGCAGCAGAACGAGCAGTGACAAAACCGGACTTTTTGACCCCGAATCTTAAGATTAACAAAGATGTTGGACATTTGGACAAATGTTGTCCAGAGTGATGGAGCTCAGACTGTAATCTGAGTGTTGGACATATTCCACCATTTTTTTTCTTTAGTATTTTCAACAGAAGAATCATTTTCAGTTTAAACAAATGTTTGTTTTTTCTCGTTTTGATGCTCAGAATCCAAACAATAAGTTTTTTTTAAATAAAAATGAACACCCCCTTTTTTGTTTTAGTTTGTCCTGCTAAAAACTCCAACTTCCTCAATCTGGTTTAAATGAAACGTTTTGTTTACTTTTCTGTGGCGCTCCATTCTGCAAACATTTCACCTCCACAAGCATGAAAGATCCCAGCATTTTATATGGAAAAATCTGGTTTGCCCAAAAGTTGTTTAAACTCAAAGGATTAATAACTTTAAGCATCATTTAGATGTTTTTTTTGGAACATTTTGATGCATTTTATCATAAGTCAGAGGAAAAATTACACAACTTTCCAGGTTTAAACTAAAAAAGTGATTAATGATTGATTATTCCTCACTTCTCTGCAGGTAAAATAAAAACCAGCTTTAATCAGCTACAGAGGAAAAAAAGGTAACCATGAATAGAAAATCAAAAGCAGAAACCATGATTGTTTCATGTTTAATGTAATTAATTAATTGTTAATATTAAACTTTTTTTGCAGTCATGTTTATTATTCGTCTAATAAAAAAATGAAATAAAAATGTTTCTGCTGCCAGATATTTTTATCCTGTTTGTCTTGCAGTGATCATTCTG